GCAGCAGCAGCAGCAAAAGCAGCAGCAGCAGCAGCAATAGCGGCAGCGACAGTCGCAGCAGCAGCAGCGGTTGAGGATCTGAAGAACTCGCTGCTGCAGAATTTGCAGCAGCAGCTGTTAAAGCAGCCAGAACTGCTGCTGCTGCTGCTCACACTTGTGCAGCAAGAGGACCCGCTGGCAACAGCAGCAGCAGCCGCAGCGATCCTTCTAAAGGAGCAGGAGCACCGCAGGTGCCGCACAGCAGCAGCAGCAGCAGCAGCAGCAGCAGCAAACGCAGCAGCAGCAGCAACAGCAGCAGCAGCAACACGAGCAACAGTAGCAGCAACCCGCGCTCCCAACCTTCCTGTGAACTCTACTCTCCCTTTTACAGTCTTATTGTCTTACAGCTCTGTGGGGGGCCCCAAGGGGGCCCCCCGGGGCCCCCAGGGGGCTCCTACAGCCTTAGGGTACAAAATACAGACCCTCGGGCGAGTCAAGAGAGGCCCACCTGACCCTGCAGGGGCCCCTCAAGCCTCTGGGGTCCCCTCGTAATGGGCCCTCGGGGCGTTTTCGCTTCAGGGGGCCCCCCGGGGGCCCCCAGGGGGCCCCCGGGGGCTCCTGGGGGCCCCCAGGGCCCCCAGGGGCCCCCAAGGGCTGCATAGTAGCTGCTAAAGAGGCTCCTAAAGGGTTCCCAAGTTGGCCCCGGGGGCCCCAGTAAATCGCACAGTGTGTCTAACGGAGGCCCCCCTAGGGGGCCCCTGTAGGGGCCCCGTAGGGGGGCCCCCCATTCGCTCCAAGGGGCTTACAGCTGGCCCCGAAGGGCCCCCAAGGGGCCCCCAAGAGGGCCCCAGGGGGCCCCCAGGGGCCCCCCAGGGTCTCCGTTCTTCTCCGTTTCCAGGGGCCCCCCAGTGCCTCTTTGTCTTCTCTGAGGGGCCCCCAAGGGGCCCCCAATAGTCTCTTATCCCGAGGGGCCCCGGTGGCCCCCGAAGGGGCCCCCAGAGACTTCTTGGGGGACTCAAGAGGGCCCCCGGGGGGCCCCTTCCTTGTTTGGGGGCCCCAAAGGGGCCCAGGGGGCCCCCAGGGGCCCCCGTTGTCTCTTCTGTAAGAAGGGGCCCCTGGGGGCCCCCGTTGTCTCTTTTCTAAGAAGCGGCCCCGGGGGTCCCCTGGGTTTGTCTTTACTGGCTTATGCAGTGTCGTGGCGAGGGTTTAGGGTTTAGGGTTTGGGAGGCAGCTTTTATGGCTCGGCGCTGCAGGGTTTTTATTTGTCTGTTTGCTGCTGCAGCGGCTGCTGCTGCGGCCGCTGCTGCTGC